ACTACCCCAATTCATCCCGTGGGTGTCGTAAAAGCCGACTAAGGGCGCAAAACAACGGAGGTCACCAGCACTGCAAAAAGAAGGAAAACTTGACACAAACCCTATACCAACCCGTCTGGCCAGCGTGGTGTAGTAGGCCAAAACCTCCTTTCTAAGGAGGGGCCTATGTCCAGCAGTGGACTATTAAAGGCTGATGATATGATGTGATGAAATGCGTAAATATGACGTCAAAGATTATTTTAATCCAAAGTGATTCAAAAGAAAAAAACAAAAGTTCCATTAACTAAATTTTTATGAAAATAATAGATTTATATTTTAACGGACAAAAATCGTGTGTTTATATTCTTACTTCTAATAATGTACTTTCATAAGATTGTCTATTAATCATTTTTATCATTTGTACTGATAATGTAATCTGGTAATCATTTGATTTATTTACTAACATTAAAAAAAAACTATCATACAAAATTTTATATTTATAACTATCTATATAGTATCGGTTATTTCAATTCGATAATTATTTTATCGGTATAATAACTATATATTATCATTGTACTGATGATAATGTAATCTTGTTATGAAAATATTATTTATTTACAAGCAACTAGAAAATCGTTATGCAAAAACGGTGGTATTTTTTCCATCATCATAGTTACTGTTACTCTGATATAAGGAAACCGCGCCAATGCAATTTTTATAGAGTTTTTTCTTACATCTCTGAAGTTCTGTCTCTATCCACTTTCTGTCTCTATTATCAAACCACCTTTATGATGATAAACTATGGTACAATCATTAATACATACATATACAAACTTTTATTTCGATGCGCCAATTATACGAGTCATCATCATCATCAACAGCCTTTAATAGTACACTGCTGGACATAGGACTCTCCTTAGAAAAGAGGTTTTGGCTTACTATACCACGCTGGCCAGACGGGTTGGTATAGGGTTTGTGTCAGGTTTTCCTTCTCTTTGCAGATATATCTTTTTCTTTTTTCTTAAATTATACGAGTAATCAATTACAATTCAATTCTAACAATCGTTAACATAGTTGGTTTATAAAGAGAAAGAAATACAATTGTTTTGCGAAAAAAATTACAAAAAGAAAACATTAGTTATGTCTAAAACACTCGTAGTCATACAAAACACAAATTCGATTACGACTTGGCAATGGGTCACGCTTATTACACAGGTTCAAAACAAAGAAGTAACATTTACACACTATTTTCTAAAATACATATTATATAAGCATATATATTGACAAGGGTTGTACGCAGTGTCACCGTGTACACATATACGTAAGGTAGATTCTGACTGGAGCATTTACTGCGATAGTCATGGCCCATCCCAGTACCAGAGATTGTGGTAATCTGTAGCTGTATTATAGAACTGACTAGTTTGTTTATTTAATCTCAGTTTAATCTCAGGAACTACTGGTTCGAATTGAAAAATTATTTTAGTGTTTGAAAGCCCATTTATGGAGGGCTAAATAAAATCACGCGACGGAGAGTAGTTAGATAGTTAAAATAAAAGTTTTCCACAATACAAATGAAAACAAGATCTTTTCTCGTTCACCAGCGAGCTGGTTAGCTACCTAGTAAACAACTTGCCTCACGACATTTACACATACTGGGTCAGTAGCTTTTATTTCCCTAATTGCCTTTATGAAGATCAAGGCCAGCGTTGATGCGGTGCAGCCTTGGGACATTCCGGGTGGAACAACCGCAAGGATTGAGCAGCTCCATAAAGATCGGAGCAATTATGCTTTGTGGAATGGTAATTGTAATTGTTGGAGTGGAAAGTTGGATGCAGGATCAGAGAAGTCAGTTATTTCTCATAAACAAAGGAATATGTATTTAATAATATCTCTGAAAATGCCGAAATAAGAAACGTTATTCAGAAGGTAATGCACAATTCTACCATTTAATATAAACCAATTATTGAAGTAGATTTTTATTAAATTATTTTTTCGGGTATCAATGCGATTAATAGGTATTACTGACGATTGAATTGCCTGATCTTTCGCTGCTTTCATAATGGTCTGGTTGATATATTATAACAATAAATTGACACACCACACACAGTCAACTGATCCCAGACTAGGCGTAGCCTGTACAATGGTAACCAGGCTCTGATTATCAAAGCAAATGATGAGCTCGTCACAGAATTATTTGTCCTTGGTGGGAATCGAACCCACGACTACTAACTCAGCAGTCAGCATCAACAGGGCGACTACTATATAACTGTATATGCTTAATAAATTTTCCCTAAATCTGCTGCAGTTTGAGAATTAATAGTTACGTGACCGTGACATAACCAGAATTATTCAACTTCAAACATAAATTAATTGGATCATTTAATGGATTTATTCCCACGGTAATTAATAGAAGAACAGATACAAAATAAATTATTTTTTTAAATATTCATATATCGTTCACTTCCGAATTGTAATATATTATCTGTGTTATTAAATATTAAATAATAAATTCTTGACTTAGAACTGACAACAGATTACAATAAATCAAATGTGTTTGATAAGACTGCATTAGTGAAACACTGTTTCGCAGTCACTAACGCCCACATTTGGATGTGGTGCAAACGTGCCATTACTTTCTACCACATTACAACTCTATAAACTAAGCCTGTGGAGTATAACGTTGAGGATTTGAAAGTGTATGTATGTGTGTGTGTATGTGTGTGTGTATGTGTGCGTGTGTATGTATGTGTGTCAGTGAGTGTGTGTGCGTCTGTGCGCGCGTGTGTGTGTATGTGAGTATGTTGCATTATATAATAGATGCAATTAAGTCTTCAGTGTCATCGTAAGTTAAACCAAGCAGCCATTCAGTAACTCGTGATATACAGGCACTTCAGACAGACTAGAAGGGACTATTGCTATTATAATGTTACCTGTTATATTGAGAGTACTTATTATAGTTTTTTTGCTTAGATTTGTCAGTATTGTTTGAAGTCGGTTCAACTTTTTTTGTATTAGGAATACACACACATACACGGAATGTCACCTACAGAGAATACAGTGTGTCACTACCATTCCTATTCATCCCGTGGGTGTTGTAAGAGCCGACTAAGGGAGCAAACTACGCAGGACAACGGTACTGCAAAGACAAGGAAAACTTGACACAAAACCTCATTTCTAAGGAGAGGCTAATGTCCAGCCGTAAACCATTAAAAAATGATGATGACAATGTTATACATATTTACTCCTGTTCAACAATAATAAAAATAACATCACACATCTCAGACACGGCGGTTTGATCTCAAACCAGGCAGAGCTTGTGCTATTGTAAACAGATTGTTGATCAACATACCACAGGCCAGGTGGAGTGACGATTTGCGCAAGATGGCTGGCAGGAGCTGGATGCGAGAAGCCCAAAATCAATCTAAGTGGCGTGCAATGGGAGAGACCTATGTCTAGCAGTGGACTGCGATAGGCTGATGATGATGATACATATCATTGATAAATAACACCCAGACACAGAACTAATAATCGTGCTCATCACACAATTACTAGTCGTGGGTGGGAATTGACTTCTGACTTAGCAGAGTATGAGATGGCAGAACGGCGGTCGTAGCTCTACAGGTGACCCGTCTGCTCGTCTGCCATCTCTTCCATAAAAAAAAACAGTTCTTTATTCGATTTTTTTCTGAAACAATCCCTCACTATTTAAAAAAAATGATACTATTATATTACGAACATGTTTTGACATACAATACTATCAAAATATCTGTTATAAACAACGTCACTGTTTTAAATTTCACATATTCTCACTCTATGCTGGTGTTCTACACACTATCTAAACACGTGTCATCATATATTTCTAGATATGATTAAAGTTGAAAGCACATGTCGTTTATCAAGATCCCAAAATCCATAACTTTTTGAATATCACTCTGATAATAATATATGTACATATAAAAATGATGCGAGTATGTTTATTCTACGTATGTGTTTGTGAACATGCGTTCACAAAAGAGCGGTTAAATGTGAATTTAATTGTGTGTATGTGTGTGTTGGCTTGTGTGCGTTTTACGATGCGTCCGCTCTGAATACGATAAGGTCAAGGCCAAAATTGATCTTTCATTATCTGGTGAATAAAAATGTACTTTCAACCGTATTGACTTTAACATAATTATTCCGACGTCGTAATATATTAAATTCATTTTAAATTTGAATTAATTTGACTTTCTTCTACCTCTTATTATTATAAATTGATAAAATGTAACTTGTAAACAACCACTTTATATTCAGGGATAGTAGCAATGACGTCGCTACGTATCCGCTACGCGTCCCGCCTACGCCGTAGCTAGGGTCCCTAATGCACACCGCCTACGCCAAACGTAGACCCTACTACTTTGGTTAGTATTATGACGCAAGCGATGTTCCAGTATCGTAAACAAAAGTTATCTGTCTACTCTCTCACATATCGATACTACAATCGAACCTCTCAATAGCAATCAAAGCGAGACTAAGGTCATTCGTGATCCAAGTAGCTCTTTGTTTAAATCTAATTATCGCCGAACATGTTATGTATAAAACCACAACATAAACCTGGAGGCAAGAATATGCTTAATTAAATGACTAGGTGTCATGTCATTAGTGAACGAGAAAAGATTATCATGTTGATGTGTGCGTGTGAGCGGGAGGACAAGTGTAGCAACAAGTGGCGGGCGCGAAGCGGGGGCGGGGGGCAGCGTTATCGTGACTGTGACGTCAGGACCCTTTCACTGTCCGAAGTTGCGTTCTGGCGGCACCGACTTCAGTCCGCGCGGCTCGGTCACAGCGGGAGCTCGTCTCGCGCTTAGTGTTCCTAAACTACTCCGACTCACGCGTCACTCGTATATCAACGTAAAATATATCGAAGCCAACATTTGTCAGAAAAAATACACACGTAAACGGTCCGATCGGTCTTCCGTGTGTTATACCTCCTGTTCGGCTTCTAATCCACTCAGATCTATCAATCAAAAATCAAGGAATCTAAGATGGGCGTCATAAAAGTGACTCCGGACACCGCGTCTCTAATCTCCGCCTGCGACATGCTCGACGATATGAAGGTAAGTGTTACGAGGGAAAATCATGTGATGGCCAAGAGTATCGTGGCTATGGCTACTGTCCAAACGGACAGTGCCGTATTAGTGAAAAAAATACAAGTGTATTATCTTTACCTCGGTGTCATCCGGTTATAATTAATGGCGGTAGTTCGTAATTTGAAATTTTATGATGGTATTCGGTGTTGCGCACACGGCATTCTTTATTCAAATCGTGCGTTTTCTACCGGCGCAACCGCAGGCGATGGTGAAAACTAGGTGTTGCCGTTGAACGGTCAACGGAAGCGGTTGCCCTTATCAGTTGTTTGTGACATGATTGCTATAACTAGAGTTCGCTACGTGAGAACATTCAAACAATCAACTCACCATAAAGCATTATTGGCATTAGTTGATCGAAAACTATAAACTGTTAACAAAAACCTATAATATGAATGACAGCCTAAATGATTCTATCTAAATTCTTCATAAATTTAAATAAAGATTCTAATTGAATCATAAATAAAGATTCTATTTAAGAAGTACCGACCTGACTCCATCGAGAATTAATTTCGAATGGTCATTTCGTTTTATATCGATATTGATTAATAAAGATATACTTTATTCATTTATTAATAATCTAATTATTTTTATTTATTGAAATAGAAACAAAAACAGCAATGAAGATTTAAATTTCTTTAATTCCTTTTTTTATTGAATCAGGATGGTACTCTGACCATCCCGATTCCGTCAATAAAAAAAGGATGTAGGTAATTTAATGTTAAAATAATATAAGTATTTTAAGTATTTTTGTGTCTGTTTTTATTTGTTGGTTAATTTTTTAAATGATATCTAATAATTGCCCATGCACTAAAAGTTGTGTCATCATGAAATTTCTGATCTTAAATAATAAAATAATCTGATAATAATCTTTCCACCCTATCGTTTAATTTGATGTGTCATAATGATTCATTTCAAGAAATAATAAAATGTTAACCCAACTATTTATCACTATATAACTCAAAAACAAATAATCGATATTTTATTTAGCTTTGAATATGATATAATAGTATTTTTATATAATAAAATAAATTTAATTTAATTAAAACGTATACTGCACTTTTTAAAGTCGACTCTTATAAAATGTATTCTGTGTTTGAAAAGTCAAGATTAAAATATATCTGTCTGACTGAAACTTTGATGGATGGAACTTTCTGGATAGATTAGTGGAGAACGTATATAGATCAACCATATAATTGCATAATTGATCAAATTCATGACATTGCCTACGTAGTTATTTGAATGATTCACGGCAATAAACTATTTGAGCTGTTCGCACTCGGCTCTGTACTGAACGAAGTATGGCGACGCGCCTCGCTATGACGCAACATCTTTAAAATTGTTTTGATTATGTTAGCTTGTAGCCAAGCCATGTGCCCACTGATAATATAATCTCGTGATCTGTGGAGTTTATACATTATTTTGTTTGTCGGGCTTTGTAGATAGATTATATCTATGCTCGCTGCATGTGATTTGGGAATGGATCCTTGTCTAACAAGCGAATGCAATTGTATGTGAATTTTAAAGCTCTGTAAACACGTATTTATCCCAAAAATATTTAAGAGTTTTAATAATATTTCACGTCTCCCGGTCACGCATTTACTTGTATTCTTGTTTCACATCGGTAGCTTATTAGTAATAGTATGCAGGGTTCAAATACGCCATCATTCGCAAATGCGACGCCATAACCGCTAATACATGATACTTTAGTTTTATCTGCAATTCTTAAGTTAAAAATTAATAATATCTTATTAATATTAAGTATATTATGTGCTTATAAATATTAATAATTAAATAACATAACCATAAATTAGTTTTATTAATAAATAATCAATACAATGCGTCAATAAATCTTCAGTTAGAAGATCGTATTGAACATACCTAGTAACAGTATTACAATATGCGCTGGCGCAGGAATTCAAATCTAGTTGCGCGCACGCAACAATGCGCGGTACAGTGAGCATGAGCAACTCGCGTGAGGGATTCCTTTCGCATGTATTTAAAAAACTAATTAATAATAGTAAATAGACAGTCAAATTCATGGTCGAAAAACATCGAAGCTTACTCAATTCTTTGTCTTTGAATAAAATATATATAAAAACTATTATTTTAAAATGCTATCATCTAGTTAGATATTTAACTTGGGAACAATTCAGCCATAACCGAAATCGGTTTCGTTCGGTCAAAACTTGAATTAAAAAACGTCGAAAAACGTTTACAGGATAAATTCACTTTATAAAAAAACATCAAAGCTTACTTAACTCTTTGTCTTTGAATAAAAATAGATATAAAAAATATTATTTTTAAGATACTACCATCTAGTTAGATATTTAAATTGGGAATTGTTCAGTCCGTCGAATCTTGAATTAAAAATCGTCTAAAGGCTTAATTTAATTCATAAATATGATCACCATTTAGTTCTATTTTAAAATAAATTAACAAAAATAAATAGCCAATGTGTTTTATAGTTGATCGAAGTTTAAATGATTCGAAATCCTTTTTTTAATCACGTGCCCCTAATTAGCATAAACAGCTTGTGCTAAGTATAGACACTTGACTTGGAAAAGTATACGATGTTTTCTATACATAGGAGGAGTTCCAATATTATGTATAGACCCAAAAACTCTCTCTCTCTCTCTCTCTTATACTTTCAGAATAGGTTACCTAAATAAATCTGATCAGTCTTGCGTTACAAGTAATTATATCTTTTGAACATAGTCTAATTTAAATTGCGTTGAATGTTGATTTATGATGTCTTAATTAGTAATAATTTACACTAAGATTTACGTTCCGATCTGTATATTTTATGTAAATTCATAATAAGATATCGCTATTATAATCCGCAAAGGTTTTTTTTTATAAATGATTACTAATTTGTACTAAGCCTTGTCATCAATTGGTTTTATGTAAATGATATCTGCGTAAAAACCCACAACGTATCTTGGCGTGCATTAAATTATAAATACTTACATAAATAATTACAAATACACAAGTACATAAGGACACATCGGATACTACTCGATTACAAAACTTATTCTATTTGATCAAAGTTGATTTTCTATCTATCAAGTCTTTTCTATCTTTCATTCTTCATTTTCTATCTATTTATTGTTTACTATAAATAATGTAATATTTATAAAGAAAGAATAACAGACTTTAGTCCCTTGGTCTTTAGAACCATAACACGTAAAAAGGATTGTAAGTTTCTATCCCTTGTAACTTTAGACTTACCTTGATATATTTAAATCTTACAAAAATATAAAACAAAATGCCAAATTGGTCGAGCTGTCAGTTAGTTTTGCGCTTAGCAACACATTTGGCGATTCTTTTTTATTTGCATTGATTACATCACAAACATTTTTGGATATTAAATTGTCTCTCCTCTTAACATGCATAACCTTTATGCCTTATATAACCTATATATCCCGACTTTTCGCATATGTACACAGCATTAGAAATCTTTATTTTGCTAATTCTGAATCATCCCATTAATGCATTTGGTACAAAAAGAAATTTGGACTCTATATTCAATATCAATAGATCTCAATTCCTGTCACCGCCATTAATTTAGAATGTTGCCATTAGCGAAAAATTCTTATAATAATCGACGGGGGGATATAACAACTACCAGTTTTAATCCAAAAATTCAACGGTTTAAAGTTCCTAAAAAAATGTTTTAGACCGTATTAAATGTGTAAATTTTTCTAAGGTGTGATTTACCGATGTTTCGATAATATTGGCCCAGTTTTGGTCACAATTGAACGAAATTTTAGTAACGTATTTTATATATTTGAGGTCGGTGTAATGACCTTTCGTCTTCCACTCTCTTTGATCACTCGACATCCTCTTTAACACACCCCTTCATGTCACTGTGAAAAAGTATTGGCTTTTTATTTTAGGGCTGCTTTTTAAGAATAGTGCGTAACATAGTATGAAACAAAATATATTTGAGAATTCTAAGCAACCAATGACTGTTACTGTTTCAACAGCTTAACGGCTCTTTTCCTGCAGGTTAGACATTATCACGTTAATATTGCCTTTTCTTCACGTGTGGATTAAAACAAACATTTCAAAAATTCAAAATTCTAAGCCACATTTTATTCACTTCACTTTAATTTTGATGCTTATCTGTTGCACTTATCTAAAATTATTATGTTATCATTGTGATATTATATTTATAAATAAACACATAAAATTTATTCGTCAATTGTGTTCATCAGTTAGAAGATTGAACAGAAAAATGCTAAGAAATTCAAATCGAATACATTCTCTTGCGTGGGTGATATTTCAATGGCACGTTGAGTTTCAACAATTTTAAAACAATGTTAGTATTGCAACAAAGCATTTTGTATACGTATTATTTTCATAATAATTTTATTGTTATCTACATTGTTATATTAAGTTGTTTCTTCATTGTAGTGGCACAGGATAGTCTAGTTTCAATGGGAAAGATTTTTTCTCGAAAATGTACACGAGAGCACTTAAGCCTTGTAACTTCTTATCAAACGAAGTAAATTGCTTTAATCCTTATTTTATCAACATCATCACATCCATAGCCCTGTAATAGTCCACTGCTGGACATAGGCCTCTTCTTAGAAAGGAGGTTTTGGCTTACTATACCACGTTGGCCAAACGGATTGGTATAGGGTTTGTGTCAAGTTTTCCTTCTCTTTGCAGTGCTGTTGTCCTGCGTAGTTTGCTTGTTTTATGCTACAATAAAAATAAATAAATAGTTTCTTTTTTAAATGTAACTTCTAATCAAATGAAGTAAATTATTTTAATTCAATAACCTTGAATATTTAAATACTCTTACGTTATATTTATAAAATTTTATGTTGACGATTTTTGTTGAAACATTGAAATAAGCATTAGTATTATATTTCATCAGCAGTACTTAATTGGTTTAATTAACACATATTCTATTTACTATTAAAATATTTAGCCATCGGTTTTTACAAGTTTCTTAACTC